TTTTCGTTTATTGTTTTGGCCTTTATCTTCTATCTGGTTCCATTTATCCGAATTCCTAAATTCTTCATATTACAACCAACCAAAGTACTTCCCTCTAATATAAAAACCTTACCGTCATCGAACAAACACGTCAGTTATACCCAGGAAACATTAATATCTAAATAACTGTACAGTTAAGTTGGATTGATGCTGCCGAGTTATTGCACTACCCATATTGAACTAAACAAATTAATTAGAGCTGTACATTACAGTCAAGAAGCGAGGAAGTAGCAATGGACTGGCTTACACTAGTTTGTAACAAAGGTATCAGATATTAGAATGTACGGGAAGTTTAGTCCTAACGTGATTTGCATTTATCAAACTTTTGCTGTGTTCTTACACAACAAAAGTACCATTTCAGTTCTAAAGAATCTATCCTGAGCTATACGTTCGGTAGATTACTTTTTTTTGAGTTTCACTATATTTAATAGTTACTTGTGGTTTTGCCTCAGCTTACTATTCGTTTTTTTTGTTTTTCACTAGTTTCAGTTTATATCACTCGTTTTGTCCATTTTTGTCCGTTTTCAGTGTGCTTTTTAGTGTTTTTTTTAAAAGGTCTTAGGCTCTTGCAAGCATCTATAACATAATTTGCTTCAACACCGTCATGAAAAACTCATGCAAACGTCCGGGATGCCGTTTTGCTGTCACAACTGGCATGCAGTGCGACAACTGCAAAGGTTGGTTCCACGAAGCATGCACAGATCTGACAGCAACTGCTTACAACAGACTCAGCAAGTCAGAGCAAAAGTGGGTGTGCGTCACGTGCAACACAGACTCCGTAGTCTTGCTGAGTAACATCATTGTCCTAGTGACAGGTCTTCGGAACAAGTTGTCAGTTAACTTGGAAAACGATAGTAAAAAAACTGATATACAAACAAGAGCGTGCAACAGACTCAAAAACAGGGATGTCGATAGGTATTCCATCGATGGAGCATCCATCAACACTTACGACGACGTGTCGAGGCTCAGTACCATCATTACGTCGACGGTACTGAACTCCCTAGGCAAACTCGGGTCTCCCAGCTCAGGGTCCCCGAACACAACAGTGGTTCCCAAAAACTCTGCAGGTGATTCGACCCACGTTAAGAGAGCCCAAAAGAACCAGGCATCACCGCCTAAGCCGAGCAACCCAAGTGTTGCTGCACGGAAAATAACTGGTGATTTAGTCGCACAGTCTACCCCCAAGACTGTTCGTCCGGTCAATAAAGAGCCCATGATTCATAAACGCACACTGACCTCCAAACAACAAGTTACTAAACCTGAACCCATCGTGAAACCTGGTAAATTAACAACAGTTCGTGGCGATTCTCTCATTATCATGAACCTCGTTGGCAATCCTGATCTTCCTCTCAGTCTGCAGGACAAAAACGACAGAATGCTCTGGGGTGAATTGAATAAGAAGCTCGAACTTCCTAGAATAGAGCCTTTGACGGTCACCCGGCTCACTCGAGGAAAGGATTCTAAGCATCTAAATCACCCGAGGCTTCTCCGAGTAACACTTAAGGATGCTACCGACGTAGAGGACGTCTTGCTAGCAAGCCACTTGCTGAAATCAGATGGTAACGTAAGAATACTGCCCGACATACCGTACTCTGAGTGCAGTATCATACGAAACGTCCCTAAAGAATCTCGCGAGAAGTTTTTCCGCGGAAGAAACATAATTGTCCAAGGTATACCGGAAAATGCAGACCCTACTCAATCAAATTCTGACATCAGGGAATGGAAATTCATCAAACAGTCCTTGAGGCTCAAACACATACTGACTCAGCATGTGACGAGACTAGCCAAGAAGCACGGTGATCTTAGACCCCGTCTAATGAAGATAACCTTCCCACCTTCCCACATGGCGGCTGCAGTTCTGGAAGCATTTCGTGCTAATAGACGTCGATTGCCACCTGGAATCCACATGCACCCGGATAGGCCATACGAAGTTAGGACCAAGAACAAAGGCAAGTTGGAGCTGACCATTCCACTTGTGGACTGTCTAAACGATAAAAAAACGTGTAAAGGACAGGGCCTACCGCCTCGGTAAACCTCACATAGGTGGGCTACCTGTCCATTCACATAAGGTTCATACAGAAAAACAGGACGAAGCTCACGCGTTCCAAATTGAAAGCATAAACTGCTTATATATGAACGCCGTGAGTCTACCAAACAAACTGGATGAACTACGTGAACTTAGCAAAGCTAATAAGGCCCATCTGATAGGAATATCTGAAACCTGGATATCTTCTCAGTTCTCGGACCAAGAGTTAGCATTGCCTGGGATGACTTTGTTCCGCAACGACAGAAAAACAGGAATTGGGGGCAGAGTAGCCATATACATAAGCTCTTGCTTGGAGGTGCACCAGGTTCACAACCTCGAGTTTAACAATCTTGAGGAATCCATATGGTGCTCTGTAAGATTGTCTAGTACTTCCAGGTGTCTAGTCGGAGTCATTTACAGGTAGCCAACTGCCGACACCAAGTACGATAGTCGTATGCTGGAAGGACTATCCCGCTCTATCCGTCTCGGTTTCACACACATCCTGATTCTAGGGGACTTTAATCTCCCTAGAGTCAACTTCGCGGAACACACGTACACTGGAGGCGACAACTCAACTGAAGCTCGGTTCTTCAACCTCATCGATAACTTGGGCTTATATGAAAATGTGAGGTCGGCAACTCGTTGGAGAAACAGTCAGACACCATCGCGCTTAGACTGTGTATTCACTAACGAAGAATTCCTAGTCGACAACCTCTCAATCCTGGCTCCTCTGGGAAAAAGCGATCATGCCGTCATAGCCTTCAGTTTTGTCATCAAAACTAAGCTAAGGTATCCCAACAACAATTTGCGTTGGAATTTTAAACAGCTGAATGTGCCAGCTCTACATGACTATCTACAACAGGTGGATTGGGATGTTCACCCTCAACTCGATGTGGATGGTCATTGGGACTTCTTACTGCACACGCTCTTATGTGCTACAAACCATTCAGTTCCTCAAACTGTTCCCAAAAACTGCAAGCCACCTACAGTAATCAAGAACCGTACCCTTCGCCTGCTAAGCCGCAAACGGCACTGTTGGGCGGAATACAAACGAACTAATAACGATGGAGCGTATAGGCAATACAAACATATCAGGAACACATGCACGAAGGCTATAAGAGAAGACAGGCTTCAGCACCAAACAAAGCTTATGGACAAATTCGCCTCTAACCCTAGAAGCCTATGCCGTTATGCAGCCTCTCTTCGTCAAGCCAAAATAGGAGTTTCTCAACTGCTAGGTCTTAACGGCCCGACCAACAACGATGGCGACGCCACTAACCTTCTGGCTGAACATTACTCTCAAATATTTCAACCGGCTGACATCAACTTTATTGACGACAGTTTTATCTCCAACTCCACAGGACTTTCTGAAGTGGACCTAAGCGCTGACTTGGTGTTCCGGAAATTGCAGCACTTAAGACTTGACACTTCTCCTGGCCCGGATATGGTTCATCCTGCCATACTGAGGGAGGCAGCCTCAATCCTGGCAACGCCGCTTAGCGTGATGTTTTCACACTCGCTAAGCCGAGGCGAATTACCGGAAAATTGGAAGTTGGCTAACATCACACCAATTTTCAAAGGCGGTCGACACAATGAACCTTCAAGTTATCGGCCGGTGGCTCTTCTGTCATTACCTTCAAAACTCATGGAGTCCCTGATATGCGACGGTTTAAACGACTACCTACTGTCCTTAAATTTCTTCTCGCCCCAACAGCATGGTTTCAGGAAGGGTGACTGTGGTATAACCAACCTGCTGACTGCGGTGGACAGATGGACAAGCATTCTCGATCGCAGGGGAAAGGTTGATATCATTAAACTTGATTTCTCAAAAGCTTTTGATAAGGTTAACCACTTGTGTCTTGTCAATAAGCTCAAACGACTAGGTATCAAACCACCTCTAATCGACTGGCTTACTTCATACCTAAAAAATCGACACTTTAAGGTTAGGGTTAATTTCACTTTATCTCAGGCTATGGAAAGTCCTAGTGGGGTCCCCCAGGGCTCAGTACTAGGGCCTCTTCTCTTCTTGATCTACATAAATGATCTTCCTCAACAGGTAACGTCAGACTTATTACTTTTTGCCGACGATGTGAAACTTTGGAGAGAGATACGCAACCAAGACGATACACAGGCATTTCAGGAGGGTCTGACGCAACTTCAAAGTTGGGCAGACGATAACGGACTTACCTTTAACACTTCAAAGTGTAAAGTAGTCCATCTGAGACATGTCGCAAACTACAGTTACAACTTAGGAAACTCCTCTCTAGTAGTATCCCAAGTCGAAAAGGATTTAGGAGTCCTGGTGCCCCATGACTTAAAGTCTTACGCTAACTGTGACAAAAATGCCTTCCGAGCAAACCTTGCACTGGTAACGTTGAAGCGCATTTTTGGACAGTTTGACGGACGAACTTTCCATACAATCTTCAATAGTTTCATCCGTCCCCATTTAGAGTACGGAAACATAGTACTCCCCCCTCACTCCAAAAGGACAAGGTCACTTTGGAGCGTATCCAACGGCGAGCCACGAAATCAGTTCGAGGACTCAAATCTAAGCCTTACGAAGAACGCCTCCGTTCACTAGACCTTTACCCACTAGAATATAGGCGTCTTAGAGGTGATTTACTAATGGCTTATAGTATTCTTAACACTTCTGGACATCCTCTTAAACACCTACTTAAGCTTAGTTCTAATAATAACCTAAAAGGTAACACCCAGAAACTGGAAACACAACATAGCAAGACGGAATGTAGACACAACTTCTACTCCTTAAGAGTTGTCAAAAGCTGGAATTCGCTGCCGGTCGAGCTAGTCCAAGCGACTTCTCTGGAGTCCTTCAAGAGGCAACTTGACCTATTCTGAAGGACCAAGGACAGCATCACATTATGATTTACCAATTTCTTTTCCTTTTTGTTGTTAACATACCTAGGTTCCTGCCTGGAGGATTTGGTGATCTCCTACTACTAGACACGGAAGCCTGTTAAGCGAAAGCTTCTTCTATTCCGTCCACAACCATTTGAACCATTTGAACCATTCGCGGGTCTTGTGTATTGGATATAGCAAACGTTTCAAGTACTGCGTTACCCATACGGATGTACTCCGAGCGTCTAAAATATTTAGAGCATAAATTAGTACAAGACGGGTCTGTGTCAAATTCCTTTTTGAATGGGGAACCAGTAGAAAATTTTCAAGAACCCGTGGATGTAAAGCCAGGTGTTCCTGATAATGGTAGGTGTTTTTCGACTAAAATAGTTGTAGACTTAAGTCCGGCCTTGGCTGGAATAGGTATTGGGGTTGCCAGGTTACTTTAAGCGAGTTTACTTAACATCTTTTAGCATGTTCTTAGAGGTCTTATTATCACATCCATTCATTGTAATAAGAAATCAGTGTCAAGTTGTGGAATCCAGTCTATGTCTACATTTAACCCCTTTCACCCTCATACCTGTTGTTCGGAAGTGTATACAATCTCAAGTAAACTTTTGATATAATAATCTGCAATAAATCAGGGTCTATCATTTCTTTGGAAGGGGTTGGGCAGTGTGTTTATCATTCGTGGTTTAAACCTTATGACTGAGAATCTCGTTTGTGAACTTACACCATTACCCAAGTAAGCAATTAATTTATGTACAATATTTTCAGGGAGGTCTCCAAATTAAGTTCGTCCAGACGCCTTCTAGGTCATCTTCTTCTTAAAGTGTAAGTTGCTGCTGTTATTATTTATTCTACTCCAGTTGTTCATGGGTTGTTCTCACCCCATTTTTCGCAGCAAGCATTGTTGAACTTATCCAGGTGAGTTAGTGTGCTGTATTTTCATGCTTTCATTTGTTTTCGTTGTTTGTTTGTCTACTAAGGGATGGGCTTGACCAAGCAGTTTTACGAAGATCAACGTTGTTTGATTACCCTAGGAAATTGACCATGGACAATCAACTACTAGTTTTAACTTCTTCAGTCAGTCAGTCGGCTACAAAGTGGGACCAGGCACATATATGCATCGGTACAGGTTGCCATACCACATTAGCACAGCAAGATGAACACCGGATTCATAGGAGTGGTTAAGTCAGTGGTGGTGGTGGTCAGAAGTCAGATGCCATAACAGTTAAAACACCTCTCGACGTAAACTTGATATCGTCACATATAGATACGTTTCGTTCAACTTTCTTGGGTTATAATTTAAAGGATTCTACTCCCAACAATTCAGTTGTAGGTTGAAGTCTCACTATATTTGCTTCAGTTTTAGTAAGTTAGGCGGACTCTAAACACGCGCAATCGACTCTCCTTAGAATTTTACTGTAAATTAGACGATGTATTTCAGTCCCGAAATAACGTTTTTTATTTAGAGATAGAAATACACCGAAACCATCCTTGGTTTGTTACTTAAGGTATCTAGATGACTTTGTTCACTCAGAGTTCCCACCAAATAGAACATTGTCGTTTGCCTACTCCAATTTTGCTAGTGAACTTTCTAGTAGTAGATTGACCCTTTAGGCCAATGAAGTTTTCCAAAGTATAACTGAAGAAATACATAAAAAAGAATTGACTAGTCCAGATAAATACTCCCTGATATACTCGATTGTAAACATTTACGTTCTGCAAGTGCTTACTGTTTGAAAAAAGGATATGACATTTGAACAACTTAAACTAACTGATAGTTCCGTGAATTCAAATTACTTTTTGTATTCACGGCTTGTGATACATTGTTCAAAAAACCTTCGTAGTATTGAATATTTGTTTCTTCACCTTCGGTTTAAAAAGTGGACAATTTCTTCGGTAAATATGTATTTTCCCGATTATATCATACCCAGTTTAAGTTAACTAAATTATCATTTGTATGTCGATATTACGTTAACTATATAGGACTAATGAGTTCGTCTCTCCACATCACAATTATCAATTTTCAAACTTGTTCTCTGTTCCACCTACCAACCTTTGGGCATTTCTTTCATATGTGGTTCATAGCTTAGTAAATGAAAATCAACATGTTTATTGAGTTTAACTATTTACTTATTTGCTATCGCTAATCGATTGTTTATACGCTGCTTTGGTCTGGTCATTAATTAGAACCTACTGAACTATACCTTAGTTCTAGAACTACTTTATCACAACACATTGAACCAGTTCAAGTTGCATGAAATATTTTTGAACGAAGTAATTTCGCTACTATATGTATAGTTTTGTTTATTTTGAAAACGGAAATTAGTATTATAATTACACATATTAATTTGACTAAAGCCATTTTCTTTTTCGTGTTTTAATCTACAAATGTTTTTAGTCTGATAAAGCTTCTGAACCAACCACCCTTCTTTCTTGTGTACTCGATGGTTTTTATCGCTTATTTCACATGCCGTCATCCCCAAGATTAGGCTCACCAGGTTCAATGTTTCGCAGTGGTCATATTATCAAAAGCATCCCGATTGCGTCGTCACGTTTGCTGCCTGTTTGGCGTCTCTTTCCTCCTGTTGTTTTACTAAATGTCGGTCATTATGTTGTTCGATCGTTTGCAAACACTGTAGCTTTATATTATTGGAGTGGTAATGAGGATCGTCTTGAACGAGATGCGGAAATAAACTTCAATTATAAGGTATGTCAAACAGTTATGTTTAATCTGAACTAAATTATGCATTATCTGTTTCTTAAATGATCTCTGATAGTCGCACAAACAACAAAAGTATGATCTTGTTTATCAGTTATCAGAATGGTTGTTTTAAAGTAGCTGTTTTGTTGGTTGATTTACCTTTTGTTAGCTTAGCTCTGCAATGTGTTGATATGAGTAGTGTATCCCCATTTTTTCATGTCTAGTGAACTGACATTCGAAATTGGGAGTTCAAGTCATATGTATATAATTATGGTCATAATTTATTAACAAAGTGAATCGCAATTAAAAAGTGAAGTGAAATTTTACTGGCAAAAAGATGTTCAAAAAAACTAAAAAGAATAGGAGCTTATTTCCCCATATATTGGTATATTAGGTTTCTTCATTCACAAAAGTTTTTAAACAAGCCGCTTAATCAAGTCCACTTGTATTTCCACTTTTTGAGTTTTCATGGCATGGAATTTTTGTCACAAAATAGTGACAACTATCGATTGTAAATATGTCGTGTAATGACACTAGCTAAATGAAGATGTGCCACTGGAGTTTATATCAAAATCTTTCCGGATCGTAGAATAGCTGCGCAAGAATGTCACCTTCACATACTGAACGTTATTTATATGTAGTCACGATAATTAGTGTTAAACGATCGGCCATTATTGATAACACCAATATATGATACGAATTCACTAGTGCCATTAACGATTTTGATATGCTGGGGATATACATTAGACACGAAACTCTCATATTAAATGTCTGGGATGATATGGTATTGGTTTCGTGGAGTTAAGGATCATAAAGAATCTTAAGAAGGTTTTTGTGTATAGGTCTCTCATGCTCCGAGTTTCCGTGTTACAACATTACAAGGACGAATTTCCCAACATTTTTGTACCACTAAAAAACTGACGATGTGTACAATGGATTTGGGGATTTCAGCATACATATTACCATGTTTTTTCTGAGAGTATCTCGTATTTTATTAATAGAAACCTATTTCTTATCAAATTTCAGACTGAAGGTTTTAATCGGAATAAGTGTTCTCCTGGATTTCCTACACCAAACATACATACATCTATTAGTGAGTGTCATACAACGGATATGGATACTTTAACTTACCAACGTCAGGACACCGCTTTACAGGCTATTTATGATCGTTATTATGCCGACTTGTTCGCTGGGATGACAGCTAATTTTGTCGCAGATGTTGTACTTTATCCAGTAGAAACCCTAGTACTACGGTTATGTGTTCAAGGCACTCGTACGCTGGTTGATAATATGGATACGGGTGATGTAGTTGTTCCCATTGTTTCTTCATATGATGGATTTTTTGATGCACTTCGCTCTAGCTTGGGCTCGTCTGTTGGGATTCTGGGTCTTTATAAAGGTTTTGGTGCTCTTATAGCTCAATATACCCTACAGGCACTGTTTATTTTTGGGGTCCGTTGTTTGTATGAACATCTTCTTTGTCTTTGGGCTCCTCCACCTACTGATAACAAAGTTTACTCAAAGTCAAGTTCCAGACCAAATGTATCTACCTCGTTTGAGGGCTTGGAGTCAGTTGCTGTTGGTGACTCTCCGTCTATTGTTAATAACTGGTAACTTCATACGTGTTATTGTTGTATTAATTTTGATGAGTAAAATTCGTCATCGTTGTACAGTTTCATGCTCATACATTCAAACATCACATTTACATCCTAACTTCACCTACTGCCTATTTTTTTCATTTGTATCATTTCTTGGAGACTATCTAGGCTAGAAATAAGTTGGACGTAATTAAAAATGTAGACTTTCAATATTAGAAAATCTTTTTTATCTCTTTAACAAAAGGAAGCAGGATAAAATTTCCAATTTTCAATTTTCACTCATCATTTGTAAATTGATTTTTGAGAATTATCTGATTGCTCATTTTTAGATTTTCACATATTAAACTGTATTCATGTGAAATTATTGTATATTTTCTGTTTCTGTTGTTGGTTTAAGCCATTTAGAAAATGAAGAATTTAATTTTTCTCGTTGCTCTTCTAAATTACTGGGTCACATGTGGTTACGTTAGAATACGATAAAATGATCCAATAGGTTTATTAGTTCTTAGTAGTGTCGGAAATTTGGTACATCAATCAATATTAAGTTTGACTGGAAAAAATTTTATATTCAATTACTTCTTTATTAAGAAATTCGTCATTTTACTCGCTTTTGATGTATTTGGTGTTGTAGACTACTCTTTAATCATTGTTATAATATGTTTTGAATATGCTCTCAATTTCCCTAATTATGTACACAACTAAACATTTCTGTTAGATGGGAATAAATGTGAAAGACGTCTTCCTTTCTATTTCACTAGTTGTATGAACTCTCAATTACTCATTCGGTAGATTGTCTGAGTTATTACAATCGACTATGCAGCTTCTGACTCTTGATCTGAATCATGTGTGAAATATAGCCTTTTTGTCTTAGTTCATCCTTGTATATGGAACACACGTTTGGTAATCTCAGGCAACATCGGAATTTCGACCAAAATGTTTGTATTTCGTGTTACGTAATAATGTGTTGAAAGTTGAGCATAATATGAATGAAACACTATGTGGCGATTTGCCGTGTTCACTTGTGACATTCTCGTTCATTTTAATATATTTCACATTTCTTTTCTCTTTCTAAGCTATTCCAAAATATAGCGGCTGGAAACAATGAACCATTGTATGGTATTCTACGTTACTGTCTGCCTATTTGGTGCATTATGACAATCTTTGTGCTCGAATAAGTGTAAGTGTAATTTCTACATATTTCATCCCTAGATGATTATCATCATAAGTATCCATACGGGATGACAAAACAGATATTTGTAACTATGAATCTACTGCTTCTAAATAGTCACACACTACTTTTGATGTCCTCTCATTTGATTCAACTTGTAGCATTATATAGGTGCAAGAAGAATATCTGAACCAATTTAAAGTGTTTGTGGATGTTTACGTTTCAGGTATAACATGTAAATATTTTGGAGAAACATCTAGGTATTTAATTAGGTAATCCTAGATTAGCTTTCAAGCAAATAGATTAACACTAATTGTTTTCAGGAAAATTGCTTTAGATTAATTTCTCATAGAGTTGTCCCTGTTAAATGAACGTTTGAAATTGAATTACATTTCTTGTGTTTCACACTACAAAAAGTTATTAGATGGTACGGTCGAGGGTGGGGAGAGTCAGGTCTCCCTCTCGGAATGCTCTCACATGGCCACGCGTATACAGTCAGTACCAGGGAAGTCCTACTCACTGCCTTCTTGCAGCGGGGGTGTTGTTTACGAGAAGACAAGACCGGGTCGGTGGATATGGAGCATCCACTTAGGGAAGTTGGGAAACCCTGATTCCAAACCAATGATGCACATGGACTCCAGGATCCTAAGGGAACAAGTGGCGTGTGAACCACTCATCGGTCATCGGCTACCATGGGACGACTGCATCTCCTAACGTGGATCAGACCTTTAGGTCGAAGGCTACGAGTGTGGCCCCCTAAAGAAACCACGTGCTTCGGTCTGGGCAGCCGAACAGTACCACGGCCCACGCACAAATCAAGTGACTTGTGTAGTGCATATGTATTTTGGCATGAAACAGCTTATATCAGTGAAAATAACTTACAGGTACTTTAATTATATATATATATATATATATATATATATATATATATATATATATATATATATATATATATATATATATATATATATATATATATGGTATATTTGTAAATGAGAAAGAGCACTAAGTAGTATTTGCGTAAATTGCAAAATAACCGGAACGATAGGCCTAACTAAGAATTTTAGTGAGTGTTTTAACAAGGCTTAAATTCTTTTGTATATTGTAACTCACAATTAGATTTTTACTAGAATTTGATTTCTGTAAATTCACAACTAAACCTTCCAACCAGTCAGTCATACTCAGCATAGAACCTGGTACATATGTGCGTCAGTTCAATTAGCCACCGCACATCGACGCAGCGAGATGCCGTAGTAACATAGGTTCTAGAAAAATTAACCGTAGGCATTAAGACTCGAGGAAAAAATATTTAACCTCAACAGAGTGGTCTAATGTCTTCAGTTACCTCTCACTACAAAATACAATAATTTCTTCCAAAATCATCCTAACCATTTAGTACAGTATAATTGATCGGTTCCATACCATTTTTCAGTCAATTTTGTTTCACTTTAGTATATGATTTCCTATCAATAATGACATAATTTTGATTCTCTTATCATTTAATGCAGAAAACAACTATAATATTTATGTGAATGTGATTGCCAAATTATTTCAAGTACAACCAGAATGTGTTTTTGAAGGTTTTCAAAGTTAAGACATCTGGTAAGTGACGGCTGTTTCAGAGGACAATCTTCATTACGCATAATAAGCATCATCTTATTTACTCTTGGTGTTGTTCAGATAATATTATGCTTTGTCTTGGCATTAGTAATTGAATCTAGGCTACTGATAGCTGCAGACCTAGTATTTTTGAAGAGTAATACTTACCAGCAACAGATAATATTTTTTGAGAATAATTATAGATTCATGATTTTTTAAGTCTTAGGTTTTGAATTCTTAACTCCCTCTCTATCCAATTTCTCATGCTGCTGCAGTAAATCGTACTTTTCGTATCAGTAGTTTGATATTGTGTAGTGGGTTATTGGATTTTCCGTCGTTCAAGGTTAATTATTAAGTATATTTACAAATACTTTTGTAATGATATCGAACTTATTAGATATGGTAAAATTTCTTTTGAAACAACCTGTCTTCTTTCTTAAGTTCGTATCCATTCAGCTGGCGTATCGATGTGTGACCTACTCATTCAGTCATAAACTATGCGATCATGTGTCTTTTGTCACTATTCAATCGCCCTTAGGCCCCAATTTCGTTCCCATCTTTAAACTAACTTATCAATATCACAAGCTGAACGTGGTGAATTTTCCATTCTTTATAAAAAGAGTAGCTGTTTTTAAAAAAATAATGTGATCATTGGGAGTTCACTGACTTGAATGAATTGACAAGATATAATTTAAATGAAAGTTATTGATTTTAGCGTAGTGTACCCATCAGTAATCATCATTATGATTTCCCATTAATTACTGACGTATTGTTCTAGACTTTATAGGCACTCTCAGTGCACTTGTTAAATCTTAAGTCTTCTCAAATAACAATCTCACTTATTCAACTACCCTCATTCACCGAATTCATTCCGTATAAATTTAGACGTTTACTGACGATAAACATTTACAACTTGGTCATAATGTGCTGATAAATCTATAGACGTTTTTATTCTAATGATTACGACATCGAAATGTCAATAACAAAAGTGAGAAGCTTATCCCCTGAGATCAGTCAATAAACTTAGGAAAGTATGAATTCTGAAGAATAATTATGACGCAATGTAATATCCAATAAAACCAAAAGTCAATAATCGTTAAGTACGTTTTTTTTCATCGCTTTTATCTCCCCTTTGTTTTTGATCACTTAGAGTGCGTTGTTTTAGGAAACCCACTTCTTACTTTATCTGTCAGGATGACCCGTTTATGCATAAAAATAACATACTCATTGAGTAAAAAATCGCCTGTCACTTGTTCTTCCTACTGTTATGGGTTACTAATCATTCTAGGATGACGAAATTTGTCTCAACTAAGAAAATGTTCATTGTTTTTTTTCTGTAACACATTATCACTGCAGTATTATCTGTAGTTGTTTTGGCTCACATCGAGCCATAGAATAAATACATCAAACAAAGAAAACGAATAGTTTGTCAGTGATATGTGCTTATTGTTATATTTTATGGTCTGTTAATTATATCGAGATACGATTGTCAACTAGAGAACAGTGACTTATCGACCGAACCAATAACGCTTAGAGTTCTTATTGATCCTTTTTCTGCCTAGCATTGCCTGTTGAGTCCAGAACGCAAATATCAACCTCCGTTATATGAATCATATACTTGGTTTACGTTCAAACAAACCATACCGCATCATACCACGAAATAGCAAGCAATAATTATACTTTTCGATAATGCAATGAGAAGACGAATTTTATCAGAATTATGTGATATATCTGCGCAATACATTTCGAACAATCTGATCACACATAATTATTAAGACATTTTTATATGAAAATCAAAAGGTCAACTAGACAGATTAAAGGTGAGCTGTAACAAAGAAAAAAAAATTATACAAAATCAGACCAAAAGGTGGCTGTGATTGAGAGAGACTAACCAGTAAATTTGAGAATAATAAATCGCGTAATAGTAGTCAATTGGTCAAATAGAAGCTTATAATAAGAGGAATAGAAATATATAGTTTAGTTTCTTAACAGTTATACAGTAAGAATATATGTATAAAATTGGTCCATAAATAATTATTAGCGGTTACTATTCATTTATTCTCGTCCAGTTATAGCACTTATTAAACACGGAGACACATTAACCTTGTAAGCCGCTTCACTGACAATCTGTATTTGATAGCGAATGCTTTGGTTCTGTCAGCTACGTAGGGAGTACTAGATTTCTAATGTATTCTGTTCATCATTTACTTAATCACAATAAATAATGTTCGGGAAGACTACGGTTTGGATTCAGAGTCGTTCTAATTGGCGCTCTTCATAATAACACTTATGCTTAGACCGTAGCATCGAAGTGATCTAACTTGGAAGCCTATCATTTAAATGGATTGAAAGTATATGATGAGTCGTAGTAATAATGTCTAACGTGGATGCAGTGTTTATACTCTCAATTTTTGTTAATAATTCAGCAGTGACATCACTTTTAAAAGGAAGATTGTGATAAATCTTTTCTTAAGCCGTCTATTGAAGGTACTTTCGTTGTAGCAGTGTTCAAAAATGTTTTTAACTCCTGTCCCTTGTTCTTTAAAAGTACTTTCTGGGCAAGTGGTTTTCGATCATAATGCCAAATAACAATTGATAGAGTTTGCTAGTCCTTAATCTAGTATCCTCATCTGTTCGTAAACAAACTTTTCAGATATTTTCATACTATTTATTCATTGTTAGTAGCTTGTACATTCATAGGAATAAAATATTAATTTTATCTGGTTGAATAAAGTACTCGACGATGAACCCAGCTGAAACGTAATTTATAAATAGCACTGTGTTTACTGAACACAGTTACGTCAGGCGATTGTAGATTGATTTAAATATTATTACAATAGGTTGATAGTTTGCGATTTATTTTGTGTAGATAAATTTATCAACGAAGCTGAGGTTTTAAGCCACACATCTAAGAGTGGTAAGTGTTATCACAGTATATATGGAGGCGAATTCGGCCTTGGAATAGAGTCATTTCGCAGTCGGACCATACTTTTACTGCCCCCCCCCCTCTTAATCGTACTCGTTGTACAAATATTAGAGTTATGTGTAAATACCCATTACAGTTATCGTTGTGAACGACTACTAAACCATACAAGATTGTTAGCCGTTATCGATTGCTTTATAT